ACATCTTCTATGCTTCTTTGTCAAGTGCTCCCTTCCCTTGGGAGGTATTTTTTTCAAGTGCAGTTATACCAGTTTATTTATTTTTTGTTGTTGCTGTTTTACACATTGCTATGAAAAAAAATAGCATAACATGTTTACAAAAATACCTGACACAAAACATATATATGTATATTATTGTTGTTAGGTATTGAATCAGTTCACACTCACAGTGACTATATGTATAATAGAATGAAACATGCTTGCCCCTGTGCCATGCTCATAATAGTAGACATGATTGAGCCCATTGTTGCAGCCACTGTGTCAATCCATTTCATTGAGGGTCTTCCTTTTTTTTTTTTTTTTATAGATTATCTACTTTATAAGTATCATGTCCTTCTCCAGATACTGGTCTCTCCTGATAACATGATCAAAATATGTGAGACAAAACCCTGCCATCCTTGCTTCAAAGGAGCATTCCAGTTGTACTTATTCCCTGATATATTTGTTCCTTGTTCCAGAACTCCATGGTGTATTTAATTTCTTTACCAACACCATAATTCAAATGTATCTATTCTTCTTTGGTCTTCCATTTGCATCATCTAGCTTTCACATGCTTATGTTGCTGTTGTTGTTAGGTGTCATTGAGTCAGCTCCGATTTATAGCAACCCCATGAAAAACAGAATGAAATACTTCCCTGTCCTGAGCCATCCTCACAATAATTGCTGTGCTTGAGCCCACTGTGGGACCCACTGTGCCAATCCATCTCATTGAAGGTCTTCTCCTTTCTTGCTGACCTCTACTTTACCATGCAAAATATCCATCCCCAGGGACTATCCCTCCGAATAACATGACCAAAATATGAGAAACGAAGTCTTGCCATCCTTGCTTCTAAGGTGTATTTCAGCTGCACTTCTTCTGAGCGTAGTGCCTACGCCATTTGACAACTAATGAGAAGGCTGGTGTTTCAAACTCACCTGTCACTCCTTGGAAAGAAGATTGGGCAATCCACTTCTGTAGAGATACCACCTTGAAAACCCAAAGAGAGGTTGTTATGACCTGAAATTGACTCAATGGTAATGTTTTTCTTTTCTTTTTCTTTTTAACCTGGAAAGTGTAGCAAGATTATTTGGTGTAGTGCCTAAGGCACTTGACTGCTAACCAGAAGGCTGGTGGTTCAAACCCACCAGTCACTCCTCAGAAGGAAGATTGGATGATCTACTTCCTTAGTGATACTGCCTTGGAAACCCAAGAGGGGGGGTCTCCATGTGTCAGATCTGACTCGTCAGCAATGAGTTTTGAGTTAGCCTTCCAAGCAGATTTGTTCATTCTTCTGGCAGTCCATGATATATTCATTATTCTTTGCCAACATCAAAATTCAAAGTTATCAATTCTTCTTCAGTGTTCTTTATTCATTGTGCAGCTTTCACAGGTATACAAGATGATTTAAAATACCATTTCTCGGATTAGGCACACCATAATCTTCAAAGTGACATCTTTGCTCTTTTACACTTTAAATCGGTCTTTTGCAGCAAATGTTTCCAAAGCAGTAAGTCTGATTTCTTGCACGCTGCTTCCATGGGTGTTAATTGTGGAGCCAAGTAAAATGAAATCTTTGATAAACTCGATCTTTATCATGATGTTACTAATGTGTCCAGTTGTGAGGATTTCTGTTTTATTTATTTATTTTTTTATGTTGAAGTGTAATCTATACTGAAGGGCTGTGGTCTTTGATCTTCATCAATAAGTGCTTCCAGTTCTCTTCACTTTTAGCAAGCAAGGTTGTATCATCTGCATATTACAGGTTGTTCATGAGTTTTTCTCCAGTCCTGATGCTGTGTTCTTCATATAATCCAGCTTCCAGGATTATTATATATTTATGTAAGTATATATCAATGGGTAGTTTATTTATCACTTTATTTTGGCACAATGCCTATTAATATCTCCAAGAATTCATGTTAAGTAGACATATTTTCACATGATTTCACCATGCAAAATAATAATAATAATAATAAAGTCAATGATATTAAGTTTCTGAGGAGCCCTAGTAGTGCAGTGCTCAAAGTGCTCAGCTGCTAACCAAAAGGTTGGCAATCTGCTTCCATAAAGATTTACAGCCTTGAAAACCCTACAGAGCAGTTCTACTCTGTCCTACAGGGTTGCTATGAGTTGGCATTGACTTGATGGCAATGGGTTTGAGTTTTTGTTATTATTATTATGATGATGATTTTGGTTTTGTTAACTGACTACCAATGTACCTATTTGAAATCTCAAAAATATATCACAGTACCTTCCACAGGCATTGCCTTGAATTCTTCTCGCTTGTTCCTTTTGAAAACCACTGAATTTTCTTCCTCAGAAATGATTAACTACTTAAATATAACGCTGTTGTGTTCTGTTCTGTTGCCTGTCAGTATAATCGTTTGTGTCTTTTGACAAGTTTTCAAAAGAGCCTCAATTTGGGTATTACACGTCCAAATGGATCCAATCAATATTTAAATAGCTAAAGTGACAAGTGAACATGGAAACTTGTTTGTGAATAAACATGATAATTAATGACAATCAATGGGACAGTTCAGTCAAGTAAATCTTCAGAGCATAGCTTTTACTAATAAGCATTTGTCAAACTGTATTACTTAGCAAACTAGCTTTCTTTAGGGGATTATTAGCAACCCAGTTTTAACAAAACCATTGTCAAAGGAAAGCAAACATAAAATATAGCTTCCTGGGAATGAAATGAAATGGTGCCTGCTTCTAAGGCAAAACTATAGAATTACTGACAGGACCAGTAGTAATACACATTCATTTTTCATACATAATGTTCATCAGCTAAAAGTGGGTAAAAAAGTCCTTTTTTCCTTGGACTTTTCTACCACCAAAAATAACATAAATAGCAGCATCACCTGTTTCTCAGTGCACATCCTCTAGCCCACAGAGTTTAGAATTATGAACATAAAAATGCTTTGAAATAAAGATGGTACCAAAAAAAAAAAAAAAACTGCATGTGATAAAGTGAATTGATTCTAATTAGTTCTAATTAGAGATGAGCAACACACTGAAGTGAAATGATCCATGAATTATTTACATTTTTTTCTGTAATGAAAGATACTTATGTGTGTGTTTCTTTTCAAGTCATCTATTTTATTTCTAATGTATGTTCACATACATTAAATTCCAGATCAAAGTCCCTTTTTCGAAGAATTCTTTTCACATTTATGATAGCTTTTTCCAGTTGGTACTTTAAGGAACAATTTATTTTTCACATGCCTAAATTAGTACAGGATTTAAATTTTGAATAATTTGATTTTATAAAATGCATCTTGACTAATATTAGACACAAGGAAAGAATTCTTTTGAGTCCAAATGTACTTTGCAATTTTCTTATAAAGTAAATGCAGAGAATGACAATTACTATCCTAATTACTCCAAAGCAATTAAGATTTCCTTTTAGTTCTGTTTTTATTATCCAAGACTTGGTGTCATTTTTAATGCAAAAAAGCCATTTAGTTATTATGGTTCAGTAGTCCTATGTATATGACAACCCAGACCCTAGGACCAAAATTTGTGACATGAATTCTGGCCAAGAGAGAGAAAACATTGGCTAGAGATCAGTTGTATTCTGGCACACATGGGGTCATCTTGAGTTGGGATTGACTCAAAGGCAACTCTTAATGGTTAGTTTACATAACAACATTTTTGGAAGCTCACAATAACCCATAGAGTTTGATTATCTTATCCCATTTAGAAATGAGGCTCATCAAAGATAAGTGTAATGTGGTAGCAATAGTGTCAGACTTTGTGTAACTTCAAGGAGGGTAAGAACCAGCATCAGCATCATCCCAAAGCTGATTCCTGAGAGGCGGAGGTCAATTTTTCCTCCTGTTGCAAACTTTTGACCAATTCTGATACCAGTCGCACTCTACTTCTCTGCTGGGTTTGGTAATTCATTGCAATGGCCACACAGAATTTATATACCATACTCACAAGTATATAGTTTATTACAGAAGTAACATGAGGTCAGGATCATCTTGGAAGTAACAGGAAAAGGATCAATGTCAGGAAGCACATGCAATATCTGGATGTTTCCCTCAAAGTGAAAAGCACATTCTTCCCTTCATTAGTGTACAGCAGCTCTCTCATTCTTTGCAGGCCTTGTCTCATCCCCACCAGAACAGGTGATTTTCTTCACTCTTCTTAGTTCCAGACTTGGAAACACAAACAATTGTGCCTTACATGGCCTTTAATAAGCTTTTAAGATCTCAGTCATTTTACAGCAAAGTAGGATGTAGAATTTATTTTTGTGACTAAATTATGCCAATTGACCTGGATGTTCCCCAAGATTATGGTCCTAAATCCTCAAGCCCAGTGACTC